TACCACTTCTATAAATAAATACATTTTCATAAACAATATGTTCTGGAAACAACAGCAGTGTTTTGTGACTAAGGCCATGTTTAAAGTGTTTACAGCATAGTCAGTTATTTCTGTCAGGACTTGACTATATATGATGATTATGAGCCCTGCATCAGTCCAGGTTCTCCTTTGAGGAAGATCAATCCTTAGCATGTATATATGAACAGACAAGAAAGTCTTGTCTTGCATATTTCTAGGCAAGAAATGGCAGGGGAAATACCAGATCCAAGTTTCTGAACTTGCACACTGCCTGATTATGGGTTGGTTTTGCTTGGTTCATCTTAGGCTGCAATAACGTGGGTTAGGTGCAAAAGTGTCTAAATATAAAAATGACAAGAAAGTATCCAAATCATTTACTGATTAGAGCAATATCAAGTTTGCAAACGACTTTGCAGCCATATAAATGTGAAAGTCTAAGCCACATTGTTTTAACTTCCAGCAATTTCTGATGTGGTCATGCAGAGTGTTAGCCACTTCCCTGTTTGTTTTACATGGCATCTGACATGCAGTTATATCATCTTCATGTAACATTCTTTTTATTTCTTGCTGTTCTCAGGTGCTTGTAGAAAGAGTGATTTGAGTTAACCCCCACCTCCCACTTCCAAAACAGGCACACTAGCAAGAAAGTCAGGAATTCCCTAAACGTTTTAGGAATGAGACAGGATCCTTAGTGTTTAGTCTATTAGAGGAAGAATTGTTCTTAATCCTGCTGTCTCTGAACCAAAACTGTAGGGTGGTGGGGTTTTTTTGCTAGTGTATGTGCTCAAATCCACCACCAGCAAGCTACTTCACAGGCTTTCCAAATGTTAAATGTCTTTGCTTTTCAGTCCATGCTGCTCAATGTTGCCCACCTTTACTCAATGATTCTCACCAGAGGGGCAGAGCACATGTGAGGCAGTGGCTCAGCTGCAAAAAATTTGTCTCTAGAACCACATACTAGCATTGACTCAGTCCTTGCCAGCTTTTGCAGTACCTTGGGAACAGGACAGACATGTTCAAAATCTACTACTCACTAAAAGACTGAATTTACTTATTTTATGTAACTTAGGAAGAAGACAGTTAGTACCTGTGTTCAGTGTGATCTGAAATTGCCTATTCATCAAACATACTCTACTTGGGTATCACCAGCCACCTTTGTGACTGCTACCACCTGGAGTAACTTTTCTAAAGCACCATCCTTCCATGCTACACATTTGTGATGCAAAGTGTTTCATAAGAAAGCAGTAGATGGAACAATTGTGTTCATATCCTTCAAGAAGTTGCCAAATGTTGTGTGAAGCTTTTATAAGAAACAAGGGCTGCTGTAAAGCAGCACAAATTTTTCAAAACACTGCTTTTGAAAAAGCTATTTTAAAATCCTGTTGGGTTTTTTTTTTTTTTTTAAAGCTTTTCCTCTTCCAGACGATGTAAATTCAAGTCACAAGTGAATGATTTCAAGTATCCTTTTGGACTTTTACTTCAGCCTGTCTGTGTCCCTCTATGTGGCAGCCCTTGTCTTGAGCAAATCAGCCAGTCACCCCAGTCTGGTGTTATCTCAAAACTTGATGGCAATGTTGTCCATCACCTCCTCTAAGTCACTGATAAAGATGCTGAACTGGATAGGTCCCCAGATAGACCCCTGTGGTAACCCACTTTTCACAGTCATTTACCCCTAGTAAAATCACACTGACTATTCCCAGTGATCACATTCTCTTTAATGTGCCTGGACATGTGCTCCAGCAGGACTCAAGCCATGAGTTTTCCAGGCTGATAGGCATACAGTTCTCTGGGTTGAACTTCTGGCCTTTTTTTGAACATGGGTGTAACACCTTTCCTGAATCAGTTAAGTATGTTATCCCTTTCCAGGAGAAAACAGGAAACAAATGAGGAGTTTGTTTAGGTTCTGGTTAACAAGGCCCCAATGCCATCTTCTGAGTGTCTCAATACTGTCTTTATTAAAGTTTACTATTCCCTTCCTTACAGAGAGCCCATGAACGTTTCATAGCTCATGGCTAGGTTTTGGTGGACTGGAGCCAAACTATGCCTCACTCTGGCAATTTTGCCCAAGAGGAAAGGTATTGTGAAAAGTTATATAAACTAGTGCAGTCTATTAGACCCCCATCACCATTTGCAAGTTATTGTATTTCAACTCTGACCACTGTTACATCCTGTGAGAAATACAAAGATGGTTTACAAGTGTGTCCAGATTAAATTCAGCCTCTTTAAGAAATTTGCTTTGTTGTTCTGATCTGCAAAAAGCTTCCCAAGTTAGTCTTTGACCAAAAGTTAATCATTAACTGTGTCAAAGGCAGTAGGTGCGCCAAGACTTGTTTGCGTTCAGCTGCAGTATAAGCTGGAGAGAGTGCAGTCCCTGGCTGCACTGGTAACTGGAAGGTTGCCTAGAACTGGAGCATGTCCAGGAACAACTGTTCCCAGCATTAGTTTTACCAGGATTTGCAAGCAATGTCCTGAACAACTCCTGGATATAGTCCAGAGGTTAGCTCAGGTCAGGGCTAATTTCTAAAGGTAGTTTGCATGTGTCCACCTTATTTGGAGGTTTCATAAAACATATCTGGACTCTTACATGGCAATTAGCCTGAGTGCAAGAAAGTAGTCCTTGGAGTATTTAGTCTAATAATCAGATGTCTAGTATCATTATAAGACTAATAGTCACATAGCTAGGTTCAAATGTCTGGTATAAAAATGTGAGCCTTTGATTCTCAAAGCAAAAAGCAATTATACACCAAAGCAATAAACTGATGTGTCAGTGATTTCTCACCCAATTATGAAAAATGTTTTAAGACCCTGTCATGGACAGAATGAGAGCTTCAGACAAAGTTTATTAGAGAAGCCCTCTCGTTGAGTCATGAGGTGCAGAAAGGATCCCCTTAGATTTTAAATTTCTTCTCAGGGAGGTTTTGTTGTAGCTGGATCCAATCTTAGCCCTAGACTTTGTCAATAGTTTATGGCTAAAGAATTGTATAGGTGTAATAGAACCCTTACATAACTTTGCCCTCTAGGATTAAGGTTGGCAAACCAGATATATTTACATAAATATAAATAATTGTCATGATAATGATTAGGCAAAAAGATCTTAATCAGAATTATTTGCTACATAGTGTAGCAGCTATAACTTCTGGCATAGTGCAGTACTTCAAAGCAATATTGAATAAATTCTATCACAGTAATTATATTAAAGCTATCAAAACCAATTTTTAAGTAGAGATTTATGTTACTCACCCATACCAGTGACAATGATCTCTTGCTCAGCCTCGAGAAGTATCCAGGGGGGGAGTTTCCCTGCACAGGGTAGGAATCTCCACACACACTCCAAGAAGGAATATGTTAGAGGACCCTTCCATTAAATAGTGGGACTAGACTTTTATAGTGATTGATTGTCAGTCAGATGTCTCCAGGCCAGCTGTGTCAGCTCAGCAGCTCTAGATCAGTTATTAGTGGTATCAGCTGTTCATGCCTTTATTGGGTGCTTTACCAGGTTTACCAAATCTTCACCTCACTATCAGGATGTTTAACCTTGGGATTGATGGGTCAGACTGGTTTCAGCAGTATTCAACACCAGAAGCAGCATGACACCCCCTTCTCCATTCAGCTCTGATAGCTTTGCAAATAGGGCATTGTTTGAGTTGTTTTACCCCATTGCAGGCAGAGCATCCTGCTACAGACCCCTAAAATCTGAATCTCACAGACCAAAAGAAGCATCAAATATGTAGGTTATCAAAACTAGTGAGGCTACTCAGAGGTTCTTTTTTTTTTTGTGAATGAAAGTGCTCAAAGGGTAATTTGGTTAAGGGGGCAAATCGCTGAGCATTTCCTCTTTGCATCTTAAGACCACCTTAGATGTCATGGTGAGCTTCCAGCATTACATCCTCATGTAGGAATGAGGAGATAGTTCACTGAACAACCCTCCAAACTGGGAGTCAGACAATGAGGCTCTTTTGGCATAACTCTAGAACAAGGCTGAGCCTTGTATAAGATTAGATGTTACCTGAAGATGAAAGTTTTGCCTGTGCTCTGATATTACCTGCTCAAATTCTGATTTTTTTGCTGGAATACACTTCTTTCTCAGAGAAAGAAGCCCAAAAATCAAATATGCCAGTGAAACAGAGTTTGTTGCTGTGCTTCTGATCTCTCTCCAAGTCACTGCTAGTACTGAACACTATGCATTAATCCTTGAGGAGCATCACTCATGACCAATTCATTCATCAACAACCGTGTGTGTCTGAAAACTTCTGTGTTTGGCTCAGTAGTAAAGCTCTCAATTTGAACAAAAGGAAACAGAGATTAACTGAGTCATGCACTCAATATTAAAATAATAAATTAAAGTAGCAAAAAGGTAAGTGAGCAGCAAGAACATAAAGACCTAGATACCTACGAAAGTAAGTGGCTGATCTCTTATCTTGTAAGTAAAACCCTTAAGCACTAAGAATAGTTAGAGTTTTAGACATATTCCTGTCCCTTGAGATCCCCATTAATTACAGGCTACTGCTCAATGTGTCAGTCTGTTTTCAATCCCAGTCTCATTTTTCCTGTTGCCCATGTGAACTTTTAGAGCTCCAAAGTAACTTCAAGTATGAATTGGTCCATTTTTGACAGTAGAACAATGGCATTCAGGCACCAGAATTTGTAAAAAAATTGTAGTCGTCTCAATAAATTTATTTTTGATCTTTTTAATATGAGACAAACCCACTGATTTTCCTTAAAAATTAAAATGTAACTATAACTTCTTGACTGAAAAAAACTCAATCATATTCACAAAATGGAAGATATCCAATAAGGATAACTTACACAAAAAGTTGGTTAGAAGCAAATACAATGGCATTTAAATGGCATGTGAAGTACCATTCTCTGTTTTCTACAAGAAAAGGAAGAAAGTGAAGAAAGCCTGTATATTACTCCAGGCTTTCCACAGGAATATACACATGTCTAAGAAATGCACTTTCAGATCCCTCCATTTTTCTTGGTTATCTTGCTATGTCAACAACTAATGTTATATCTTCATTTTCATATGTCATTGACTGAATTTTGCTCTCCATCAGCTGAAAGGAAAATAAAAACTTCCATCAGTATTATACATATGGTTAAGTTAGCCTCTTTTTATGCATAATTATGAGAGTATTTCAAGTGTTTTTGCATATTTTATAGAAATATTTCACTTTTTGTTTATTAGCTGGAAAGCTTTCCTTAGCTGGATATAACAGTGAAAATTCAGCAACTTTGTTAGACAGATACATGATTTTTTTACTGGCCTGGAAGTGGACAAAGAGAATGTGTACCTTAATACAATGCACCATGCAGAGTTTCAATCTCAAACAAATTCACCCTCCACAACTGCCTGAAAGGAAGCTGTAGTGAGGTGGGAGTCAGTCTCTTCTCCCAAGTAGCAAGTGATAGGACAAGCAGAAATGGCCTCAAGTTGTGCCAGAGGAGGTTTAGTTTAGATACTGGGAAACATTTCTTCACTGAGAAGTGTTGCCAGGCATTGGAACAGGCTGCCCAAGTGGAGTCACCATTCCTGGAGGTATTTAGAAGACATGTAGATGTGGCTCCTGGGGACATGGTTTAGTGGTGAATTTGGCAGCATTGGGATAATGGTTGGGCTCAATGCTATTAAAGGTCTTTTCCAAGCTAAATGATTCTATGAATTAATACAAAAGCATTGATTTCATTAAATTATGAAAGTAGATGGGTACATGCTGGTCTGAAGCTTCACTAACTGAACAGAGCATGAGAAATTACTGGACATAACATTATAAAGTGCTGGACAAGAAAAGGGTACAAGCGAGCTGCTGGTCAAATGCTGAATGTGACCCATGCAGTCTGTCCTGTGTCCTCAAGAAACCCTATTCTGAACTATTTTGTGTGTCACCTTGCTTTCTCTAACCTGCATTGCTAGTGGCTAAGTAGGAGAGATGTGGACCTGGAGAAATTCAAGGTAACAGGTGGTGACTTGGTAGGGGGACACAGGGCTCAGATACAGGGAGCAAATATGAGGAACCTGCAAATTTATGGTTGTTAGAAATGAAGAGGGTGAGGACATATGCTTATCTTACTGGCAAACTTCAGCCCTGGTCAGCTGGAGAGTCACAGGAGGACTGTGATGTCTGGGACCCTCTGAGACTGCTGTGGTGCTGGTAGAGACACCTGTGCTGGACTTTGTGGCTGGCTGCACTACTGTGCTTTGTTGTGTCATTGTACTTGTGTATGCCTTGCCTTGTGTTCAGAAAACACACAGCCCTTCCTGCTGCCTGGATCTACCAACATCAGCCTCTGCATGTGTGAGTCCAGAACAGAAGAAATTCTGTGATTCTGGAAAAACTCTGCATTTGACTTCCCTTAACAAACTGGTCTGCTGATTTGCTTTTGCAGTTCCTCAGAATAAGGCAAAAAGAAGAGTTATCCTCTATGATAAGTTCCTTATCATTTACAAATTCCTGCAGTAGAGTTTTGTGTGTATTTCATGCATTTAATATAAAATAGAAAGAGAACATACCTCTGGATTTGTATCAGGCAGTCCAAAAAAAGCATTTTTTGGCCCTGGAATTTGTGGAAATGCAGCTTGCCAACAGCCAGTGCTGGAAATCAAAAGGTATTAAGTAGAAAGGAAAAATGAAATAACCATAATGTGCCAAAACCATTGCACCCTTGAATCAGCTCTTGTCTTCCTATTCTCTTTTAGAAGGGAACTGAAAAATATGCATAATCTCAGCACAGAACAAACACACAGCAGGAAAACATTAGTAGTTTGGATGGTAAGAGGTTCATTTTTGATAAAATATTTACTAGTAGTTATTTTCTTCTTTAAAAGAAAAAGGAATTTATCCTGCATTTAAGTCACTACAAATAGTGAAAACTAGGTGTAAAAATTTTAAAAAGTTGGGAGAGCAGTATTTTCTCTGAATTACTGTATATTTCTCTACAAAGTGCATCATACAGAGGTCTATTTCAAGAAGCACTCTGCTGAGTTTATGTGTTTTCAGATACTTTCACTTTGCTAGGACAATTGTAGTGAACAGTGAAAAATTTTTCTTGGTAAGTACAATCAACTTGTGTGTTTGCAATAAATTTATCAGTTCAAGAAATCAAAAAAACTGAGGTGTAGACAGTCTACACTGCAGATATTCAGAACATCTGTAATATTAGTTTAAGTAATTGCATGCAACTGCTCTTCTGGACACACTGGCCCTGGAAAGGGTTATGTCCTTCACCTGGGGAGAGAATTTGGGCATCACCTTGCCTCAGGGTCACTCATTTGGATTGATTTCTATCACATTGGGAGTGAAAATATTTTACCTATACTACAGAGACACCTCTGCCTTATTTGTTTAAGAACTTCAGATGTTTCACACCCCCATACAAAATAAAATAAATGCATACATTAAGTTTACCTTTTGCAGAACAAAATTGCAATGATTGGCACTAAGGGGGTCACAACTGCTACCAGAAGTAAAATCCATACTGAAGAAAAGATAATTTCTTCATTTCCTGAAAAAGAAACAGTCATAAATTATTTTTATTATGATTAATAAAGAGGAATAGATCATAGAATCACAAAATCATAGAATAGTTTGGGTTGGAATCGACCTTCAAAGATCATCTAGTTCCAAGTACTCTGCCATGGGCAGGGACACCCCCTGTGTATTGATACCAGGGGTTGTACTTGGCCATGTTGAACTGCATGTTCATCAGTTGTGTCAAACATCTGCTGTGATTGACTGGTGAATGTCAGACTGAAAGGATTCATTTAGTAGAAAAACAAACTCCATAATTTAGCATCTAAGCAGAAATATCTACTGGGAGGGATTAACATTGAGCCAGTTTGTCCACCCCCTGCAGTAAGCAGATATGCATTTCAGCTGCAAATGTGTAACTTTTAAATTACTATTTCTAATGTGAGAATGTTAAGAGGTAAGTCTCTTCCTACTCTTCTGTGTTGTGTGGAGTGAAGCAAAATGTTTGCCAATCATTTCTACATCTGTTTGTCTGTAGCTGTGCAGCAAACTTTGCTGGGGGAAGAGTAGACCAGGGCATGGCTTTGCTCTTACCAAACTCAACAGGTGCACTCCACTCTCCCCAGGCTGAGCTCACAAGGCAGGCACTGTCAGCTGCTCTCATTTTCAAGAGATACTTCTTTCTTGTATTGGATCTTGGAAATGTGTGACTGTTTCTCCCTTCCTAAAAACAAAGCAAAACTGAGTTGCTTTTCTTTGTTCCATGCTTAGGTGTTGATAATATGCATATGCTGTTTACCAGTGAAATTTTTGAAAGGCTGTGAGAGCATTGCTTGTTGAAGTAGTCTGCTGTCCCAGAACAAAAAATAAGTGTATTCATGTTTATTATGTACAAAATATGTGCACAAGTGTGTATCTCAAAAATAAGTTGATGCTCGGTAAACTTTTTTAGTTCAGAAGCTGTTAATCTTTTACACTGTAAAAGTATATCCTGTGATATCTTGTGATATAGTTTGATTTATTGATCATTTCCCTCAGCACAGAGGCAGAAAAACATCTTGAACAGCCTCATTTCAATACTGCTAGAACAGAATGATTTGAGGAATAAGCTGTCTGTGTGCACCTTACCTGCCTCAGTCTTTGCATTATGACTTTTCAGGAAAAGCACAACTTTCCAGCCAAGTCTGTAAAATAAGTAGAAGACTGCAATGTTTTGTGTTATTAGAATTTACTGAAACACTCTTGGAGAATTTCAGCATAGAGGTGGCATGTGCAAGGCAAGAGCTGCAGCATACCTGGAGCACAACCTCCATCCCAAAGGGCTTTGGTGGTCTATGCTTTCCATAATAAAAATTACATTTCTAGGAGCTATTTTTTCTTTACTCAGTTGTCAGTGATGTGTAACTTGAAATTCTGTTCCAAATATTGGAAAGGGACAGTGGACAATACTATGTAAAATGGAAGGTTTTTCAAGATACTTGCAGAAAAGTAATGGAAGTCTGGCCTAGAATGTATAACAAATGACATATTCAGCAGTTTGACACATCATGAAATCTGTAAAGAAGGATCTCATAGAGCATAGGACACTGAACACATACTGATTTAAAGGCATTTACATATTATTTACTTTTCACAGTTGATTATGAAACTCGCATGTATTGCTGATTAATAGAACAAGCAGACTCACTTGTATAGAAGTATATTTGGATTTTCCTTCTGGGTTATCCTGTAAATTGAGAAAAAAAAAGCAATCAACTTTATTTTATTCATTGCTTGTTTTGTGTTTCAATAATAAGAAGCTTTTATCTACTGTCCTGTTTTTCTACATTCTCTTTCTTATCTACTTGACACTTCAGAAGAACTAGTAATTTATATAACATTTAGTATCTAATATCTAATTCATCAACTATGCCAAGTTTACATAGTAACTAATTCTGCCATGGAAAAAATATTTGTTTTCCTTGCCATCCAGCTGAGATACAAATTTCCTTTCAGATTGATGATTAAACTGAAACACAAGCAAACCAGACTTGAATGAAAACTGTAACTTTATTCTTACACACACCAGGAAAACAAAGAAAAAGGAAGATAAAAATCAGTGAAAGAAAATATTTAGTCTACAACTAATGTTTTAATTTTACAATAAATGTTACCATACATGATTGCAAGTACTATGTTATTATTGTTTTCTTTTATCTCAGATGAAAATATTTGGGACTGACATGGATTCCCAGATATTTTGTATTCTATTCCCAGATAGATTAGATAGAATAAAATTTTGATAGGTAGAATATAATTCTCTCATCTTTTCTGAATAAGCATACTGATTACCATGTAATGTAGTGACCACACACACCTAATGACTGCAGACTATATCATCTCCTTTAGCCTGTCAGCTACATATTTTTGTAATTATTTTACAATACTACATTTAAAAATTAAATTAATCCAAGCTTATTTTATCAAATAATTTCGTGCATGCTTATGTGGAACCTGAACATGTGGCTGTTTAGCCTGGAGAAGAGAAGGCTCCAGGGAGAACTTAGAGCAGCCTCCCAGTACCTAAAAGAGCTACTGGAGAGCTGGAGAGGGACATTTCACAAGGGCTTGTAGTGATAGGGCAGGGGGAATGGTCTTTAGATGAGAGGGCAGGTTTGGATTGGATATTAGGACAAAATTATTTTCTTGGAGGGTGGTGAGACACCGGAACAGGTTGCCCAGTGATATTGTGGACTCCCCATCCCTGAAAGCATTTAACACCAGGCTGGATGGGGCTCTGAGCCACCCGGTCTAGTGGAAGGTGTCCCTGCTCATGTTGAGGTTGGAACTAAATGATTTTTAAGGTCCCTTCCAACCCTCACCCTACTATGATTCTACAAGGCAAAAGCTGTTGTCCAGGACAGCTTGTAGTATCTGTAAACAAGCTAGCTTAAGCACAGGGATCAATCTAGGACAAAGTACAATGGTCTCACTTTTTTTGGTGTGTTTATATTAAAATAATAAATGAGAAATTAAAACCCTGAGGTCATGGAAGACTTCCAAAAGTGGAATTCCAGAAGGACAGCTGGTCTTTTGCAAATTTTGGAAGCAGAGAGGTAGCATAATTAAAAAACATAAAGGAGAAAATGTGTCTGATAGTTAAAAGAAACTCCTCTCTGCAGGGAATGATGCCACCAATCTATTGACCTGACCTGATGGAGGTCTGTTGCTTGCCAAGGGCCAAGATCCAGGATGCTGCCAAAGGACTGCCAGACTTGTCTGGCCATTGAACCCTTTCCTGCTCTTCAGTGTGGGCACCAGTGATTGGTGGGGTAGGGGTAATGGTTTCAAGGGTGATTGCAGAGCGCTGGGGGAATGGTAAAGGGCAGGAAGTCCAGATGGCATTTCCTTGGTCCTTCCAGTGAGAGGGAAAGACTTGGGTAGAATTGCAGTCATCCAGCAGGTCAACATCTGGCTGAGTGATTAGTGTCACAGGCAAGTCTTAGACTTCTACAGCCTTGGGATTCTCTTTGAGAAACAGAGGATACTGAGCAGACATGGGATGAGTCTTACCAAGGGGAGTCCTTGCAAACAGACTTGGCAACAAGGTCCTTCTGCTGTGTATAAAGAAGTGCCTTGTATACATAGAGCTCTGTCATGGGATGAATGATGAGCCAATAAGAGAGCTTGTAAGTAGGTATCACAGGACAGAGCAACACAGGTGTTAATGTAGTAGGTGTTTGTTCCAGATCTCTTGATCAAGAAAAGGAAGGAGATGAGACCCTCTTCAGGTAGTTAGAGGAAATCTCACAGCCAACAGGCCTTGATGTTCAAGGGAAAGTGCCCTGGAGGGCAAGTCACTGGTTGATCTACTAGGACAGCCTCTTCAGAGCACAGGAATCATAGAACTGTTTAACTTGGAAAAGTCCTCTACAATCATTGGGTACAACCATTAACCCAGTACTGCCATGTCCACAAGTGCCAAATTTTATAGTTAAATGCCTAAGAATGGCAAGGAGATAAGTGATGGAGCTCTGTACGGTGATAACCCAGATATTGTTTATAACAAAACCCTTTATGCTTCATTAAGCTCACTATTCTACATTGCAATATATTATTACATATGTTGCCTTTGGCTGGATTTTCTCAAAACATGTTGTGTATTATGGGCTCTACCCTCTTCAGCTGTGCACTTTCCATGTGATAGCTCCCAAGGTTATTCATGTGGGCATTACACTTGGTGCTCCTGTGTTATCTCATAAACTCACACACATTGTTCTCTGCCATTGGCTGTCACTCCACAGAGCCAGGGATCTCCCTGCTTGCTCCTTACCTTGCTCAGGAAACTACTGGGGGACCCCTGATGGGACACTGAGATAAAAAGAGCCTTCTGACTGTTACTGTGTGCATTGTGTTGGTGTATCTGACCCTACTGAAGTCCAGGAGGGCATTGCAACTTGCAGAGGCCAGTCTGGTGCAGCCACCTGGACCAAACACACAGCCACATGTTTTTTGAGCACTTCCAGGGATGGTGATTTCATCACTTCCCTGAACAGCTTGCTCAAATGTCCTTTCAGTGAAGAAATTTTTTCCTAACATCCAATATAAACCTCCCCTAGTGCAACCTAAGGCCATTTCCTCTTGTCCTATCCCTTGCTCCTTGGAAGAAAAGGCCAACTCCCAACTTCCTACCATCTTTTTTTTCAGGAAAATGTAGAGAGCATTAAGGTCTCCCTTGAGCCTACTTTTCTCCAGGATGATCACACACACCCTGCTCCCTCAGCTGCTTCAGACCAGTTTCACAGTCCTTCTCTGAATACAACTGAATGGTCCATTGTGGTGTGCAGATAATCAAGCATGTGTGCCAGGTGACCATGGCAGGACATGGAGCTTGAGTCTGAGCTCAGAGGCAAAAAGGAATTATACAAAAGGTAGAAGAAGGGATTTGGGAGGAATACAAAGACATCATTTGCACATGCAGGAATGAAGTAAGAAAAGCCAAAGCTCAGCTGGAGTTGAGAGTAGTGAGGGAGGTAAAAACAAGCAAGGTTTTTATGAGTTCATTGTCAGCAAAAAGGAGGTTAAAAAGGAAGCAGGGCTGCTACTCACTGAGTTGGGGGAACCTAGTGACAAAGGACATGGGGAAGGTGGAGATATTGGGTGCCTTTTTAGCTCAGTTTCCATTGGTAAGGATTGCCTTCAGGTTTTCCAGACATCCTGATCTATAAAGCTTCAACATAAAAAATTGCTAAAGAAGAAACATGTTTTCAGACAGAGAAAAGTGTGATTGAAATTATGTTACTCATGGTGTTTTTTTGTTTGCTATTTGGTTTTTGTGTGGGTTTCTTTCCCCAATTCAAGACACTTCCAATTATGAAAATAAGGTTTAAAGGCTGACTGTAATACAATATCTGTGGGCCAGAGTGTATTGGTCAAAATAATACAAGTTTGTACCTGGCAGTGCTAAAGCAATAAATTTTGCAATACAGGACCTTGACATAATAAGTAACATGAAAACTGCTAATGATTATTTAAAAAAGCTAGGAAATTCAGGCAAGGTGTGAAAACATTGTTCTTTATAAAAGGAATATTAAGCATATTAAGATGTATGTATTGTTTTGCTGCAATAGACTTTTATTCCAGTGTCACAAGGACTATTCTATAAGCTTTCTTTGCTGCAACAGTCAAGTGATTGGGAGCAGTAATGCAATTTGGTAGCAGTTAGTTGGGTTTACAAGAAAATTTATGTATGACATAACAAGCCCAATCCAGACTAAGAGTTTCTGAATTTCAGAAATCTAGGGAATGCCTTCAATCAGCCACTAAGTGGCCAAATATAGTTGTAGTCCAGGCAGGCGTTTTCTTTGTAGTTACTGTATGCCACCCTGTGGTCTCTCGGAGCAGTTCTACCACAGTTACAGTGGTTTGCATCTGCTCTTGCAGTGGAACACACCGATCTCATTCCTTCCCTGGCGCTGCAAACAGGTTTGCAAAGTGCAGGTCTTGACTTTCAGTAGCTTAAATCATTCCCCTGGTAACCTGGGCTTAATCACACTCCCTTTCTGCTTTCTCTCACATTTGTTTTCCTTTTATTTAACATTATAAAACTTAAACTTAGGGACAACTAGACATATTGCTTATATCTGGATAAGCTATTTGCATTTCATAGTGGGAGAAATTTCATACACCTCCATCAACTCAAACTTGTTAAATGGATGCACATGTCTCTTTTCCCTGCTTAAAGCACAACTCTTGATACAGAGAAGTAGATTGAAGGGAGGAATTGAACAGTTAAAGAATAATTTTACTAATAGCACTATTTCAGCTTAATTAGCAAAATAGCAAGGATTTCATAGTATAGATAAGAAGTTTCACTAATGGTGTTGTTTTGGCTTGGTTGGCAAAACGATGCACCTTATCTATAAGGCAGTAGAACTAATTAGACTCAAACCTTGGCAGTAGGGGGAAAACTAAGAGCATAAGGTGTGGAATGAAGAAACAAAGTGTACAAGATAGAGGCAAGGTCAGTAAAGAATGCAAGACTGTACAAAGGGGTAAATGGTTGCACAATAAGGGTGTCCAAAGGGTACTGAGGAAGAGGAGGCGCTTCATCTTCACGACCACTGAATGACCACCGGGACCATGGGACTGATGCCAGGAGGGAGGAGACGGAGAAGGAGTATATGATAAGGATTTCCAAGAACTAATTATAATAATAACCACCCATTCTTAGAACTAATGAATATGTATGAGCATTTAATGTATATAAACTGTGAAGTTTTTGTCCCTGGTTGCACAAGTTTGGTGGAGCAATCCCCCTTGTGCCCAGCACTGAATAAACTAATACCTGCTACTCAGAGATACAAGTCTGTGAGGAGTTCTTTTCCAGCCTTTTCTCAGCATCACTCTGACCTTTCACAGAGATGCAGTCACCACTGGAAGGACTCCAATCCAGGGCAACTCTAACAGGTCATAGTGAAAGAAGTGTCTTTTCTGAGTGTTGTGACAGCCAGAGCTGTGATATGTTCGTTTTGATTAACCATGCTTTCCCTCTGGGACCATCCCAGTCTATCTCCAGCAATATCTCACTCAAGGAAGGAGGGATGAAAAAAAAAATTCCTCTTACCTTATACTTTATATTGATTTCATATTTGAAACACTTGTCATTGTTAGAGTGACTTATTTGGGGTCGTTGCCATTTAATTATGCAATCATTTTTAATTTCATCACACTTGACAGTGATATTTGATGGAGGCATGAGCTTTTCTGAAATGATATAACCAAGAATTCAAATAATTAAAATCACTTGATCTCTTTTTGCTTTGGTAAAAGAGAGTACAATTGCAAGTGACACCTCTATGTAGAACAATACTCATTTGTATCTATTTTTCTTAGGACCTTCGAAATAGTTGAAAGACCAAAGTTTTCTAAATCAAGTCCACAGGACCGGAAAAAAAACGGACTAAGCCAGGGTACATCATGTAGGAACATACAAAGGTACAACCTCCCTCTGTTTACTTTTCTAGATGAGTAAGGTAGAGTCATGTCTTCTTTTGTAAGGATGTTTATTACTGCAGATGAAATAGCTGCTACTAAACCTAAGGTAAGAAATTCAAAAGTTTTGGTTTTTTTCTTTAAGCCTCCTCACATGATGTTTCTGTAACCCGAAGGTGTTGCTTTCTTGGTATTGTGAACTATGCAGTTTATTCTCCCCTTGCAAATGAAATAGCTGTAGAAATTTAAGAAAGACACTTCAGTTTTAAGAATATAACCAACTTCATATATCTCCCCTAACCTCACACATGTAAGAAAAAATATGAGGACCTTTATATTTTGATCATTGCCAAGGACTTGATTATTGGAACAGCAAAAGACAGTCACTCATGGCAGAAAGGGTGACGAAAAGCTGATAGAGGAAATCTTAGTGTCAGCTAGACTACTTCTTTGCATAAATCTTCAGGGACAGGCCAGACTTATTTGTGATGGAATACTTGGTCAAAGAAGTCTTTTTTCATCTGCCATGAATGTTATTGCAACTCAATATCTTCTTAGAGAATGAAGCCTTTTTGTCCATTTTTTGAAGACAATACCTAAACCAATGTGACGTTGCCAACAAACTTCCCACAGTAAAAGTAATTGCACAGAATGCTTTCAAGGAGAGCACCACACGTGGAAGGTATGTTGTACATGTATTAATTTCTTTAATTGGGGTGTGGTGTCAGTGTGTTAAGGAAACTTCCCTGTCCAGCCATCCAGGAGCCATTCTGGCAGTCACTCTGGCATCACCTGAGCTGACACCAAAGCCCCTTTGGAGCTACACACCTCACACTCACACAGTCAGACCAGGTTTCCTTATGGGGTCAAACGCAGGTTTCCCATATCAGAATCTCAGACTGAATTTAATTTAATCATGGTGCAATGAGTAAATAACAAAACAACAGAGTAACAGCTTGACCTGGTGCCTCCAAGGAGGGATCCTGAACTTTATAGGCTTTAATACCCTTACAGTCTATGCCCAGGAAAGTCTGGGGGTCCTTGGCCCCCGCTGTGTCTGGTTACCTGGCTGGGCCACAGGTCCCCATGTCCTTTGCCATGCAAAGGGTTGGAAGTTCATGGCCTCTTGCCTCAGCCTCAGGCTCTTGCTCTACAGAGCTCAACCTGCAGCTTGCACTGCCACTGCACACCAAGCTACCTGCACTAAATGTATTTCTCAACATGTATATGCTGTCCCCACTGGCTATGAAAAGCAGAAATAAGTGCTCAGATAAACTTCTGAAAATACTCTTCTGTTGAAAGGTATTTGAGCATCATTGAGGTGACAGCAGGGGGAAGTAGAGTATCTTAAGTCTTGTGGACCTCCCTGTAGAAAAAAACTAAAACAGATAAGGGTAGATTGCTACAGAATTTGAGGCAGACTGCAGCTGTGGAGCTTTCTTGCTTTATTTCCCTATTGCTCTTCTGCTTGGGGAATAGGCTTTCTTGAAGAGGCAACAGTCTCTTACTTTCAGCTCTAGGTGACATAGGGTACAAGGTTCCTTCTCTGGGAAATATTCTAATGCTAAATATTCTTATGCAATAATAAAAATAAAGCTGAAAGAAATTATTTACTTACCAATTTTATAAAGGTCAATGTACTCATCATGGAACTGGATCAGGAAGTCCTTGCTAGACCCGTTCACCAGGAAATAAGCTTTTTCAATCTCAATCCTCACATTTTGGAATCTACATCCCATGTTTCTGCCATTTTCATCTTTAATGTAAAGCTCACATTCCATCTCCTTGTCCTCTCTGTATGCAGCAAGGTATTTTAGTTAAACATAGGAAGTGTGATGTGTTGAATGAGAATTCAGACTTCCCTGACTCCAGCAGAAATACTTACCTTGAATTCTGCCAGTAGAGAAAGTACTGTGTATCTGCTGGAGCCTTCCTGCCTGCCTGCCAAGTGCAGTTCATGAGGGAAATGTTATAAATCACACAGGAGAAGTGTTCGATGGCTGATCCATTTATGCCTGCAAAGATAGGAGTGTCCATGATGAGGAAAAATGATGTGACTCCTCCAAGCTGGAGGATCCTGGCACTGACTTAGGTATGTTAGACACTTGCAACCCCAGCTGGTTATTGCTTGGGTTAGGAGTTACTTTTTTTCATTTTGAGTAGCAGTACTGGAAGATATTTGCACTGACAGGTAAGTCAGTAAGGAACTGTCTGCCCTTTGTACTTAAAAATTCTTACCTGCACAGCACTACTCTCAACAAATTTCCCTTTAAACCAGAGAGACAACCTTACACTTCAGCCCCATCAAAACCCTGATTCTACAAGAGTCCTCTGAAGGAAAGAATATCACAAGAACAACCAGAAAGGGCAGATATGCCTCAGTATCAAGACAGATTTCAACAAAATCTAGAAAGGACAGCTGGAATAAGATAGTCTGTGTTTTAGCAAAGGATACTTTTTTCAGGTACTTAAAGATGTGAAGGTGTAGTGGTTTAACCCCAGCTAGCTACCAAGAATCACACAGCCTCTCACACACTCCCCCACCAATGGGATGAGGGAGAGAATCAGAAGGATAAAAGCTAGAAAAGCTCATGGGTTGAGATAAAGACAGTTTAATAGAGAAAGCTAAAGCTGCACACACAAGCAAAGCTAAACAAGGAATTAATACACTGTTTCCCATGGGCTGGAGGTGTTCAGCCATCTCCAAGAGAGCAGGGCCCCATCACACGTAATGGTTCCTTGAGAAGAATCATAGAATCATAGAATCAACTGAGTTGGAAGAGACCTCAAAGATCATTGAGTCTAACCCTAAAGTTGTGGGTGCCACATCCAGTTTCAGCTTGAAAACCTCCAGGGATGGTGAATCCACCACCTCCCCAGGCAGCACATTCCAATGCCTGATCACTCTCTCCATAAAACATGTCTTCCTAATGTCCAACCTAAACCTTCCCTGGCAGAGCTTGAGTCTGTGCCCTCTTGTCCTGCTGCTGGTTGCCTGGGAGAAGAGACCAACCCCCACCTGACTCCAACCTCCTTTTGTGTTTCAAGACAAACGCCATCACTCCAGATGTCCCCTCTTCCTCCTTCTTCCTCCCACCTTATGTTTTGAGCACGATGTCATATGGTATGGAATATCCCTCTGGTCAATTTAGGTTACCTGTCTCGACTGTGTCTCCTCCCAGTCTCCCACACAACCCCAAGTTCCTTTTCAGTGTACAAAAAAGAGCAAAGGTCTTGGCTCTGTGTAAGCTTTGCTCAGCAATAACAAAAACATCTATACATTATTAACTCTGTGTTCTGCACAAATCCTAAACACAGCCTCATACTAGCCACTGTGAAGAAAGTTAAATCTACTTCAGCCCAAAGCAGCACAGAAAGAAAAAGAAGAAAACTTAATGATTAATCTCTGTTAAAACTTTACATAGTAAATTTACCATTATAGTCTCGGCAAAATCTCTTTCTGTCACTGAACACCATCCCTCAGTGAAATTCATGCTGTTCATCCAATTCAGTTCTCTTTTCCACTGATCCATCATGAAATTTCTAATAGGTGAGTCTGGCACCTCTATTGCAAGCATCATGTAACAGGGTCAGTAAGGTGCAGGACTGATTCCCAGATTTTTGGGTGCAGAGGTTACTACCTAGCACATAGAATCATAGAATCATAGAATTTTAGGGGTTGGAATGGACCTTATCTCAACCCCCAGTGCCATGGGCAGGGACACCTCCTCACTAGTCCAGGTTGTTCAAGGCCTCATCCAACCTGGCTTTGAACACTGCCAGGGTTGGGGCTTCTACTACCTCCCCGGGCAACGTGTTCCAGTGTCTCACTGCCCTCACAGTAAAAATCTTTTTCCTAATATCTAGCCTAAATTTCCCCTCCTTCAATTTGAATCTGTTACTCCTTGTCCTATCACTGCAGTTCCTAACATCTAAGCAAGAAGGTAACTTAGCACAACTATCCTTAATGAGAAGCACATTACGCTCCACCACAGAGGACAGTCTCATGGATATGTTCTACTCACAGTCTGTGCAGCACCAACCATTGCTCAGCTGGGTGATCAGCAATATCCCCTGGGTCATGAAGAGGAGTGCAAGAGGAGCAACCATCTCTTCCACCTTGGAGACAGAGAACGGTGAAACTTGCTTGAGGTGAAATATATCCATGTGAACCATTCTCTCTAAATTTCTGTAGTCTGACCTGCTCAGATTCCTACCTCTACACCATATGATCATCTGAGTTTCTGTGAGAGGAAAGATTAGATAGACTTCTGTCCTGGTTTCAGCTGGGATAGAGTTACTTTTTCTCCCTAGTAGCTGGTATGGTGTTGTGTTTTCGATTCAAGATAAGAATATCACACTGATGTTTTAATTGTTGCTCAGTAGCACTTTTCAGTGTCTCATTCTCTGCCAGTGACAAGGTGTACAAGAAGCTTTGAGAGGTCAAGGCCAGGAGAGATTATCTGAACTGATTAAAGGTGTATTCTACACCATAGAACATCATGCTCAGTATATAAACTGTGGGCAGTTGACTGGGAGGGGCCAATTGCTACTTGGGGATGGTTTGGCCATCGCTCAGTAGGTGCAGAGCAACTATATTGTGCATCACTTGTTTTTTCTTGGGTTTTATTTGTCTCTTTCCTTTTTATTACAGCAGCAACAACAATAATAATGTTAATAGTCATAATAATTTTACTTTGTTTTAAGTATTGAACTGTTCTTATCTCAACCCATGCATTTTATGTTTTGCTGGTTCCCCTCCCCATGCCACTGGGATGGGGGAAGTGAGCAAGTGGCTGCATGGTATATAGTTACTGTCTGGGGTTAACTATGACTACTTCTCAAACAGTGAGAGAAATGTTCAAATAAACAGTAAAAAAGTTAGAGAACTTGTCCTTTTCTGTAATGAAACAATTTGTGTGATGATTTGTAAAGCTGGTGATCTCAGGAGCACTGCATAGTCCTTACAGACATACATTTGGTGACTGCTGTCTTAAGGTCTAAAGATTCTTTATCTATCTGCTATATACAGAGGTTAGGATGAATAGATGTCAAGCAGGCGGGTAAAAGCTGAAAATCGAAAATATCAAAGTGGGTTGCAGCAATACCAATTGACTCAAGTTACCTAGTGTTGACTATGGTAAGTTTGCTGAGGGTGTTAGTTCATGTACTTTCAAGGATATAGATTAGATGCGAGAACCTTTACTGTGAAGGCAGAGAGGCACTGGAACAGGTTGCTCAGAGAACTTGTGGGTGCCCCATCCCATGAAGTGTTCAAGGCTGGGTTGACTGGGGCACTGAGCAATCTGGTCTAGCAGAATGTGTCCACGGAGGGACTGGAACTGGATAATCTTTAAGGTCCTCTCCAAACCAACTAAATCTGTGATTATGATTCTACGCTCTAGAAGTGTCTAACACGTACAAATTCAAAATCAAACCCAGTAAAAGAATCAAAATTGCATCTAGGACATTTCTTAGCAGGCAGTAGGTACTTTGTTTGCATAAAGACCTCCATATATTCTTTTTACCGCTTTTCAGATTTTGTCTGGGACATCACCCCTCCAGTCCTGAACTTCCTAGAGTCTCAACAAACAAAACACTCAGAAATAAAAAGATAGACCTACCTTCTATGTCAAAATGTCTTTATCTTGTTTATCTTTCTGTCATAGTCTTCAGGCTCAGAGAATATGGAAAGACTGTATTTCAAATGGCTGTATAACTATAAATAAGGCTGTCTCCCTCCCCACTTGTGTCTTGGGGAACTTAGTGTGGGAAGTGTTGCAAGTGCTGCAAGATGCAATGTTCATCACTTCCCTCCTGATTCATAACAAATTTATGTAATTGCCCAACTCGAGATTTCATATAACATGAACAAGCAGCTGGCTGGTTAAAATTTCCTTTCTGTTGTGCAGAGTACACTGGTGCTTGGGAATCCAGTGAATGCATGAAAACATTTTCTTTTACAAGTATTTCTCTCTAGCATTAAGTAATACTGAGAAGTACAAACCATCTCTCAATACAAACCATCTCTGGGATCTGGTGGGGGGTCCTCATGTTGGGCAGCAGGGAACAGGCTGTTCCTATGTATAGAAAGTCAAGTCATTGAGGAAAAACACCAGCCTGGTTAAACAAAGAACTTAGGCTGAAGCTTGGGGGAAAAAACCAAACAAGAACCTATCATGGAAGGTGGGTCAGGCAAATTGGGAAGCCTATAAGGATGCCAAGATGTCATGTAGGGAGAAGATTAGGAGGGGCAAAGCCCAGCTGGAAATTGATTTAGCAGTTAAAGTCAAGGACAACGAAAAAAAAGGTTTTATAAATACCTTGGGAGCAAAAGGAGGGTGTCCATCAGTTGATAAATGCAGAAGGTAGTGTAGTGACAGGGGATGAGGGTAAGGCACAGGTACTCAATGCCTCCTTTGCCTCTGTCTTTAATGTCAGTACTTGTTGTCCTCATCTTTGGAAGAAAGCACTCGATTTTGTTGTGGCAACAGATTACATTTTATGGAGAAGGGATGTGGCAAGTGCCTAGAGTATAAAATCAGAGCTGTAGGAAACGTCACAGAGAATCAAATGGGGCTCTGGAAAATGAAGGAAGACAGAGTTTCTGTCCACCTGACTTTCTCCTTTCCCACAGCCTTTCACCTCCTGTGGTCTTCCTCCTCCAATAGGACACTTCCCAGAGCATTAAGCAGCTTCCCACCCACTTCATCAGCAGATGCATCCAAACTAGGAGCTCTGCTCACCCTCTGGCATCTCACACTGCTGGAGCAGAGAAGGGAGGGAGCTGATGTGAGCAGTGCAGCAGAGACATTAGTCTAGGGAGGAGGAATTCTAGGATCAGTTGCACCAAAGTTACATTAACTGGTCCTGCACTACTTTAGAGATGGTGGTTAAGGACAGCTGTTGCTGTGAAGGTAGTGTAGCTCCAGAGTCCAATGGAGATTTCTTGGCAGAAGCAGTTGGACTACAAGGCTGTGTCCACTGATGGTTGTCTGACTTGCTGAGCAGTGTCTATATCTGAGCCAGTCTTTCATCACACTTTAGCACTGATACAGTGGGATGTTGACTATCCTGGGCAACTGTGTGTTTTTCCTGTACCTAAATATGGTCCTGGGAAGTACTGTCAACTTCCAGCCTTCAAGTCATCCCAATTACGCATTTTGTCAAATGGGTGGACCAGAACAAATATATCTGTCCAGTGCTGGGTTCTCTTTTTCTAGTTGAACTCTTAATTGTGTGGCTACTTGTGCATCCAAGGCAAAGCCCCATGCTCCCAGTCTGAAGATTTCCTGAGCCTCTAGAGGAGGCAGCAGAGGAGCAATGTGCTTTGTATACTCTTTCAGTATATATACCTCTGCAACACAATGAGGAAGTCTGTGTTTGAGGTTTTGGGTAATTTGTTTTTAACTGGAGTATACTGCAGCAAAACAATATAAATAGCCCACAAGGACAGTGGCATTACCACAGGAAAAGGAACTGCTCGAACCAGGGGATTTCTTTTCTAAACTTTGAAAAATGCAAACAAATTAAGAAAAAAATTAAAAATTGCTCAAGCAAAACTGCTGCTCCAGCGACAAGAGGAGTGTTCATAAGAGCTGCCTGGGTATTTTGCTATGCTGGTCTGTCACTGCTTTCACATACATCACAAAAATACAAATAGTAGACAAGAGCCTTTCTTCGGTCCTTGCACCAAGAACTTTTTAGTTTTTAGCAACTGCCTTTCTCCGCAGAACAGAGGCATAGCCATAGGAGACCAGAATAAAGGACTTCTATCTGTGTGAACATTTAAACCATTTAGTTAAAATGCTGTAAAACCTGACTATCCTTTCCCACTGATTGTTGTATAGGGTCTTTGCACAGGGATGGGAAAGTGATACCTTAATCCCTTGCATCAGAAGTGGACAAGGAAAGCCAAAGCTTGCTTTAATCTAAGAGCAATTAAACAGGTATAGTCTACTAGATCCTCTCCATTCTGCTTCACTCAGGGTTGATCATGGCCATTGGTGCACGCTTAGACTCCTTCTGCTTTCACTATGAAAGATGTTGAAACTACAAAGCCATTGGGAGAACTTGTTCATTACCAGCACCTTGATGAGAACAGCATAAATCCTATCTGTGAAACAGCAGAGATGGAAGTAGGTAGGTGCTTTTATCTTTTAAACAGAAGGATCCTCCTCTGATTCTGTTTTATAAAGATAATCAAGAGATTTTTATTGAAAGCTTATTTAGAAACACAGAACCATGGAAAAAATTAGTTTCAATGATGGTTGCTTGAAGCTAATCTGTTCTAGTGCAATTTTATTACTCTGAGAAGATTTTATTTACCATGAGATGATTTCAGCTGCCTGAGATGACTTTAACCATCCTGAGACTTGATGGAATCATAGAATCACAGAATATCCTGAGTTGCAAGGGACCAACAAGGATCAACAAGACCAGCTTCTGGCCCTGCACAGGACAGTCCCAGGAATCACACCATCTGCCTGAGAGTGTTGTCCAAACACTTCTTTAACTTTGTCAGGCTTGGGGCTGTGTCCACTTCCCTGGGGAGCTGGTCCAGTGCCCAACCACCCTCTGGGGGAAAAACCCTTTACTAATGTCCAACCTAAACTTCCCCTGACACAACTTCCTGGCATTTCCTTGGGTCCTGCCACTGGTCACCAGAAAGAAGAGATCAGTGCCTGCCCATCTGTTTCCTCTCACTAAGGAAGCTGTAGACTGCTATGAGGTCTTCCCTTAGTCTCCTCTTCTCCAGGCTGAACAGACAAGTGAGCTCAGCCACTTCTCATATGGCTTTCCCTCAAGGCCCTTCCTTTGTAGTGTAGACCTCCTTTGGATGCTCTCTAATAGTTTTATATCTTTCTTACATTGCAGAGCCCAAAACTGCACACAGGACTTGAGGTGAGGCCACACTAGGGTGGGACAATCACCTCCCTCACCCAGCTGGCAGTGCTGTGCCAGATGCACCCCAGGACATTGTTGGCCCTTCTGGTTGCCAGGGCACACTGTTGACTCATATTCAGCTGTGTGATTAACCTCCTCTCTAATAGTTTTATATCTTTCTTACATTGCAGAGCCCAAAACTGCACACAGGACTTGAGGTGAGGCCACACTAGGGTGGGACAATCACCTCCCTCACCCAGCTGGCAGTGCTGTGCCAGATGCACCCCAGGACATTGTTGGCCCTTCTGGTTGCCAGGGCACACTGTTGACTCATATTCAGCTGTGTGATTAACCTCCAAATTGATGTTTTTTTTCTCATATCTTCTTAATATTTGGAGAATTCAGGATATGGCACTTCTGCTTAATCCAGGTGTTATAAAGCCACACAACCAGCCCGAACCATTTGCAGCTAGCAAGTGGCAGGCTTCTAATTGAAAGTTCAGAGATTCCATTTCCAACATTTCCCACTCCCCACTTACACAAATAAGTATCTGGTACCTGTTAGCTATCATATTTTAAGCATTTATTTTTTTTGTAATCACAGATAAAGGAGTGAAAAACGGGTGGAAACTTTTGATTTTGTAAATGGCTGTGAGCAACATCTAGGGCATACTGTGTTGAGGGATATAGAAACATAGGTTGAAAGCAACAAATAGACTTATGAGAATATTGAATCCTGAACTCTTTAATAATATTAAATTTGTATGAGCATATGATATGATGAGGCTGAATCTTGATTAGTTTTCAGTGGATTTTCATACAGATGACATATTTTTATTCCTGATCACATTCTCAGTATGGCTGTACCTTTTCCAAGACATTGGACTGCTGGAGATCTTGAACAAACCCCTTAAGTTTGGTTGTTATTATTTTACTCTCTTGCATGCTGTTGAAAAGCAGTATGATAACTTCCAAAGCAGTACTGAAATATTTTTGCTGAAACACTGCAGTACTCATCATAAGAAGAAACAAAAATGCTCCAAGCAAACAATTTATGGAAAATGCAATCAAATACAAAGAGTATTTTAAAGATAGTCTCTTGTGGAATTGTCTCTACAGGCAATGCTATTCTCTTTCCTTGCATGAGAATATGAAAAACCTGTTAATTTCTACCAACAAGATGTATATGCTGTAAAAAAATAAAGTTCCTCATTTCACTTGTGTTCCATTACATCACTTCTTCAATATTTATTGTTTCTTCAGTTTCATGGTTTATTGATTTGTATTCTGTCTATTAAAGGAAGAATAAAACATTTTGTTAGTGTTTCATGCATGAGATTAGCTAGAAGTTTACAATTTATGAATCTTCTGTCATTCAAGGAATTGTTATTTGTTATAAAGAAGCTGTAGTAGGACTCTGTCAATGAGAAGACTGAAGTAGACATGTCTAGGTCTTTCCTCCATGACAAGCTCCCCAGACAGGAACAAGAGACTTTTCAACTCAAAAGCCAGAAAAATCAACTTTTAAAACATGGAAAAGCTAACGTGATCAAGGAACAGAGAGTAGACGGGCAGATCCTGCAGTGTTTGTCTGTTTGTTCCTTCTCACAAGTTGTTCCAGCCTATCACATGTTAGTCCCTCTCTTCTTTACTTTCTTACTTACTATACCCTAGAAACATTTCCTCCTTTAGCATCATTGCCAAATACTAACATGGGTCTCAACATCTGCTACGGCAAAACTATTGTAGATTTCTTTGTCTATTCTTTCCCTGTCTGATTCTGCATTGTTACTGTGCTGAGATGCTCAGCACTATTCTAGTGATAGCATATGGCTTATAGGGAGAGCAGGGTGAAACTGTATTTTCTCCAATGTTCCAGATAGACAGATGGCAACCATTTCATAATGGAAAAGGTAAACCAGAAGAATTATTTGGATATGGACCTTTCCTTTTCATACCCCAAGAGCTAGAATAAGAAAGAAAATTAAATTTTTCTTGTGTGCATCTTTCTGACACTTAGGTCATACCTTTGAGACTGAAAAGGGCCTAAATTCTTAAATTTCAGGCAAATGGACAGAAAACATACCAGGAAATCCACTGGATATGTCTCACAGAAGGGGTTTCTTGGATGTGGTACTGCAGCAGATGTTTTTTTCAAATAAACACTTCTACAGTGACAAAAAGAGTTGATGAAGAAAAGACTTAGTATGCAAACATATGAACACATACTATATAATATTGCCTCTGAGGTACTATTTAATTTCTCTAACACAAAAGTATTATTCTTTTAAGTCAAAAGCTAAAAATTACATAGGCTGAACACAATCTTATAATCTCATTGCTCAGAATTTGTATGGCAATAATTTATTTTATGACTTATTAGAGCCTTGTAGGAAGTGGCTTTTTTAAGTATATGAAAGGGAAATGTTACATGAAATGGAAATGTCATCAAAACCTGGAAACAATTTCATGTATTATAGTATGTGTCATGGTATCATGGCATGTTAAGGGGTTGGAATGGACCTTAGAGATCATTTAGTCCTAACCCCACCTGCCATGGTCAGGGACACCTCCCACTGGAGCAGGTCGCTCAAGGCTTTATCCAACCTGGCTTTGAACACTGCCAGGGCTGTGGCATCTCTTACCTCTCTGAGCAACCTGTTCCAGTGTCTCACCACCCTCACAGTAAAAAATTTTTTCCTAATATCTAATCTAAATTTCCATCTTTCAATTTGTACCTGTTAGTCCTTGTCCTGTCACTAGAGCTCCTAACAAAGAGTTCATGTACCACACATCTACATTGTAGGGTCTGATGGCAGGAAAGTGGCATTGATATAAGGCCTTGTCCCAATATTGGAAACCACTGTGTAATAATAATCAAGGGGATAAAAATATTGGGAATCAGAATATAGAGCCCACTTGAGGAACATCCAGGAGGTTGTGATTCCTAGTATAGTTCAATGTTGATTTTCCCCCTCCCTCGTCTCCTTTAAAAAGAAGCCAGAAATTTGCTGCTGGGGGAAGAGGTATTATTTCAACTATAGAATAAAAGAAATAAGGCTTACACTGTGCAGAGTAAAACTGTAAGACTTGCTGCCAGCATCGGTATCAGAAAGAACATAAATGGTGAAGTAGATGTAAATTGTTGTTTTCCTGAAAGTGAAGCAATCATCAAAGTGTTGGTTAGCCCCACAGAACAGGAATGATTGCACAGCTATGTGCAATGTGCTTTGTATGAGACTGACAAACACTGTATGAAGTGACAACTTCTTTAGCTTAGCACCTCGTTATCCTGTAGCATGCAAAGGAACAGGGATGGCTGACAGTATATGGACTGTCTATGATAACCTGAGACCTGAGGAACTGGGCCCTAAGAGTACTTAAAAATTCAAGTTGGCAGACAGTAACAGGGGGAAAAAGGAGTTTATAAAGCCAGGAGTAGAGATAGAAGAGGAAAAGGTCTGGCAACAGACCTCAAGAAAGTCTGCTTTATTCACTATCCCCTTGCAAGAAGCACTGGCACCAGAATGCTTGGAGACCTCCCTTACATTAAGAGACATCAATTCTTTGCCTCTCTCGTCCTGGCAAATGAATGTACAGTTATCAGTGTTTCCATCTGTAAGGAAGAAGTAGTAATTGAGGCAGACAAGTAATAACTGAGGGAAAACTTGGTCAAAAAAGGCGATTTTTATTCTTACCAAACTCCACAGGTGTGCTCCACTCTCCCCAGCTTGGGCTCATTAAACAAAAGCCCTTGTCAGCTGCTCTGATTTTGATGCTGTACTTTTTTTCTGTGTTGAAACTCTCATATAGGAAGGAATTTTCCCCAATGATTCTTCTCTAAATGCAAACAAACTTTACTGAGAATTTTGTATTATTTTTAAATTGCTAAGAGAAAATGTAACATATATATCTGTGGGCAGACTAGAGTGAAAGACAAAAATATCCCTTAATAAATTAGATTATTTCATCCTAATTTCTTTTGTTTGAACTTTTTTGTTATTAGCAAGATGATGATGAAATTTACTGAATGCTTCCCTGGCTCCTAAGCTTCTGCAAAGCAATGGGACTTTAGGGAAAAATATTTAAATATCTGGCATTCTCTTAATGTGGATGTTTTCAAAACCGCAGTCAGATTATATAGAAGTGAAAACTTGATCTTTTTTCCTTCCTTCTTTATAGTGGCCTAATCTGTCTGGTGCTATTTTCATCTGGTGATGTCTCCTCCATCTCAACTCCTTCCAGAGACCACAGTGTCTCCACATTTTGTGTGTTTGTTACATAGAATTATGATGCATATTTATACATATATATGAATTTGCTAGAAAGTATAAAATGAAATGGAAAATGGAAGACTTTGTGAATTAATATCAAGTTACACGTGTGCAGCTGGTTTTGTACCATGCTTTATAAACAGCAGTTTAAAACTTTAAATTTAGGAAACTTATCAATAAAGGGCATATCTAGTAGACAAAAACTGGTAATGTGAAACCAAATCAGTTTGGCTGGAGGATGCTCTGATATATAGAAGAATTTCAATGAAGCATAAATATTAGATGGATACAGACTTACTGTTTCAGATGTGATTTTGGTGATTTTCTCAGGATCAGCCTAGCAACAAGAGAAAACTTTAATTTTTCAGATTATTGCTTTTGTTACTATATGATAAAGTGTCCTTTCTCATGAATACTTGATATTCAGGGGGGAAAAATGCGTATATAATATTTTAAAGACCTTCTTTTAAACACTGCAAAGTTCAGCTGTTCTTCCACTAAATGTTTTCTCCTTACTACTGGTGCTTTGAAATATTGTACCATTTAAATTTGATTGAAGAACCAAGTATTAAAGCACTAAACAGAAAAGGCTCAGGTTGATCACCAAATTAAAATCCTTTAAAATAAAGGATCTATAATTTACTAGCGAACTCAATTTTTTTCCTTTCCATTTGTTTTGCCTGTGCAACATTTGCATTCTAAAACATTTAATTTAGCTGTGTTTTATTTTTTAAAAACTTCTTTTACTGTTGGAACAAGAAAGTCACCAATATCTCTGCAAATACTTTGAGCTTTGTCTTTGAAGGATATAATAATGCTTCCATATTCATCCAAGCCTTCAAGATACTTCCAGTTACTGAAATGTATAATAACAACCATTTAAGACCTGGAAAACTCCTTTCAGTTAAAAAGCAAAGGACACAGAACTGAATAAAAGTCTACAATGGACAGATGTTGTGTTACTACCCCTTACATCCAGTTGTGACAGCTTTGTGAGGGATACCATAGGTAAAAAAGGAGAGATTAGTTAAGCAGGGGAAGAGAACAGGCTATATGGTAGTATATAGCATATAGGTAGTAAGTAGTGGAAATACAGACATAAAAAATACTATTAGAAGTCATAATTGTTCTTACCTTTTTTTCTATGACAATGTCATATTTGAAACAACTACTTCTTTTCTTATAACTTGTGCGAGGTGGTTTCCACCAAATATTACAACTGTGAGAAGCTTCTGTACAGTTCACAGTGACATTTAGTGGAGGGGTGAATTTTTCTACAATAATATAATCAAAGATGTTATTGATTAATAATCGCTCTCTTCACTCTGTCTTTTTACCAATCTAGGCAGAGGTTCAAGCAACTGGTCTAAAAATATGTAGTGCAGCAATAGCAGAATTATTATATTCTCCCCATATTCTGAAGCAGGACTCTCTGATTTAACACTCCAGTTGTGGAGCTTGGAGAATCAGCTGCAACAAAAAGTAAAATTGAAAAAACACAAGCCATTTTTTAGATTTTTCCTAATTCAGCATATGATACATGCAGGTTTGTTTTTCTGTAGTTTTAGTTGTGGGATTTTTATTCTTGTTGGTTTGCTGGGGATTTTTTTTAATACTTTGTTCTTATTAAACAGAATTATTATTAATTAACAACATTCTTCCATTAAGAAAAAAAAAGAAAGTATTTGCTCACAGTGTTAAAATAATTGGCTTTTTTTAATTATGTGAATGAACAGAATTACCAGACAATGATATAAGACCAACATCTAGATAGTCCCACTCAGGCAGCCTTAGCTAGTGAATCTCAAAAGATGACACCTTCCTTTCAGAGAATAAATATTTGACTGAAATATTCATGATTCTCCAACCTATGATTCCAGATTGTCTCTGTATTCATTAGTTTTTTTCCTTCTTATACTTTAGACTTTTCAGACATCAAGGCTGGCGAAAAAGGGAAAAACCCAGCCTGTTATGAGAAGTAGTATTCAAAAAAGTCTCCTTTTTTTCCAGGGATGAATTCCTCATTGCCTTAGGATAAAACTGGAAATAAAAAAAAATAATTAATAAACTTTACCAATTTCATGTAGCATAATCCACTTCTCATATGACTCAATGTTTTGTCCACTTCTAGACCCATTTACCAGGAAATAAGCATCATTCTGTGCTATTGTCACATTTTGGAATCGACATCCTGTGTGTCTTCCAGAATCATCTTTGATGTAATCCTGGCATCCAGTGATGTCTTCTTCTCTTGACATGAAATATTGTAGCAGTTAAATATTGACAGTCATGTGTCAGACTAGAAATCAAAATTCCCTAGATTCCAGCAGCCCTACTTACTCTGAGGGCTGCCAGTACAGGAAATATTGGGTATCTCTTGTAGCAGTCCTGCTCACATGCCAGGTGCAGTTCATGAAGGAAACATTAAAAATGACACAGGCAAAATTTTCAATGGCTGTCCCATTCATGTCTGCAAACACAGAAAGAATATCTGATGTCCACTCAGCAAAAAGGTTATAAGCACTCAAATAATCCTGATCTCTGCAAGATCATTTAGTAATTTTTACCTACCTGCTTAGTGAATCCAACTACATATTTTGGGGGTCTTGTAGTTTTGTGCTTACTTGAAATAGCAGTGATTTTATTTGTGTTGAGCCATGAGGATTACCTACTATTGTTCCAGATGCTGAAGCCATGATTGGGATTTAATGAGGTCTTTAATGAACTCAGGCATAGTGATTTAGTGGACTCTAGTAATAAACACAGTCACTGTGGTGTCCTTTGTTTAGATCCCTTTGTGGATGGCATATTTTTCAATCATGACTTGAAAATGGTTGTTAATCCCTTCTGGTACTCTGCATTCAAGGATAGAGGGAATTTTGTTTGCACTGAACTTGATAGAAACAGGCCTGAATATCTATATAATTAGTGTAAAGCCAAGGTAAAACTGAAGCAGAAATTCAGAGCTTAAGGTGAAGGACTATTCAGGTTGTGCATTCACAACCTGAATGCATTCCTGGTGTGTTTCTTAAAAGGGGAGATCTCCAACAGGAAACGATAGTCATTGTCAATTGAATGACTAGTTAACAGCCAAGACTAATCCAATCACTATTCAGAGTTTAAGCACCACATGTGCCACCTTTACATGCACTTTCCCAGTTAGTGCTAAAACTTCACATCTGATTCTTACACATTTGGAAATTAAGAGGAATTTTTTTCAAGAGACAAGAAAGTTGTCAGAGTACTCCTGGATTTCTGGAAGAGTTCCTCTCTTCCAGGAGGAAGGTACAAACAATTACAAGAGCTTGGATCAGCAGCATTTCATTCAACAGCAGCGTTGGCCTAAGCATCCCATGTCCTTCTCCATCCTCCATGGCTCAATCCTGATTCCATCCTGCCTCCCTGACTGTGCTACTCTCATTCCTTGTGGGGCTTTGCAGTGAGTAGTTCTGAAGAAGTGATCATCATCCTCCCAGCAGTTTTTTCTTCTTCTTCTTTTTTTTTTTTTTTTAACCTGGCTTAGCATCCTGTATTGCAAACAGTGGAACAAGCTCATCTGAGATGATGTTAGCAACAAGGACCTAGAGGAGAGCAGTCTGAGCTCTTTCTGCTTCTGCAAGAAATACTGGCCCTTACTTAGTCACTAGAGGCACCAAAGCTCTCAACACAGAATTGTTTATATCCAATTTATGTGTAAGTTTATATATATAAGAAACTACTCTCAAGAATCCAGTGATTATGGTACTGTGATAAAGTGATGGAAAGCTTTGGTCACTTCTTTGGTCTGCCACAGATTTACTTTATGACCAAGGGTCAGTCAAATCTGTGTACTTTACTTCCTTGTTTACACAAGAAATAGAGAAGTTTCCTTCCTATCAAGAAGTTTTGAGGTAAATGCAGCAGTCTGAAGTATGATTGCAGGTGCTGTCCAAGGGTCTCAGGGAGATGGGCTTCATAGAGCCTTTAGCAATGCTGCAAATCTAAAGAAAAAGGGTTATTCTGATTTCATATCAGTTCACAACCTGGTTCACATGTGGCCCAAGAAGCAGTTGAGGTGGCCAGCAACAAAGGAAATAGGGTAAAAGGAACTCTTAAAATGGCATTGTGGTCAAGGAAAAAACAAACAAAACCACATCCTTGGACTCCACAGAGATGACCTCAGTGTTTTATATCCAAGAAAAGCACATAGAGATATTGTCAGTAGTTCTTTAACTAGCCCAATTTCTAGAGCTAGAACATTACTCTACCTGCAAAACAGCCACAGGCAGTGGCACAGTGTCATGTTCATGCCAACATCAGGGATGTGCTGGGAAGATCACTCTGATATGTAAGAATCACTCTATACCCTTTGCTGACAGGATTTGCTTCCAAGTTTTGAGTGAGTTTATTTTTCATTTTTTCTTTATGCACATTTCTGTGGATATGCCAAAGAAATTCTAGCAGAGTAGACAAGTATGATTGCCCTTCCTGTAAGATTTATTTTTTGAGCATACTTTATTCACCCACAGTGTCAGCATTGCAGTTTGTTTTTTTAAGAACACCTGGAATGGAGCTAAGTCTTCATTAGCCATTTATCTCACATTTCAATGAGACACTGATATTTTTCTGTTTCCAGTTTATACTTGAGGACTCACTGAATTTTGCTAGTGTCTTTTTGCTTAACCAATCCTCTTTGAATAACCCCATATTTGTCACTAATTTATCTATGAGGCAAAGAACAGTTTAGTTTCTCTTTTTTGCACTCTGCCTTCTGAACTGCCTCCTATATTATTTGATGATGATCATGAAATATATATGCAAGTATGCCAATATCCTCACAAGCATCCTTTATTTCATACAGGAAAAACTTATTTTCCTTTATTTTACTATCTTTAGCTACAATTCAAATCCTTCCTGACATTCTTTATATCTTTTCATGAAGGAGGTAAGGTCCTTAACTGAGACAGATGTGATGGTCATGATTGCACTCAACTGCATAAAACTGTTTCAAGCAAACACAGTACATCTATTAACTTATTTATTTACTTATATTGAGTCATCTTAGAATAACTCCATCTCTTGGGGAGATGTCAGAAACAGTGTAGGAGTATGAGCTTCAGAAAAATATCAGAAAAAAAAATTGGCTCCATAATCCTTAGTGGTAATCAAGATTATCAGCAAGGAAATACAGTATCTTACCTTTAGGTCTTGAGCCCAAGGGAATTTTTACTTTTGTTCAGTAATTCTTAAATAAAAAAATGCATAAATTTCTCTTGACTCTTGGGCACAATGGATCAGATAATTTGGAAAGGGTGGTAAATAACATACTTGCTATTGGAAATTAATAAATGGAAATTGAATTACTTTAACCTTTTAACCTAACTCTGAAGATGCTGTCAGGTGTAGGGAGTAGTTTGTCTTACCTAAACTTACCCAAATGCTGTATAGATATACTTACAGAGGAACCAGTAATTCTATACTGCCTTAACAGCGTTTGGAAAAATACATCCACTTGAAGGCACAGTTTATTCAATCTAGTCTAGGACAAGATGAATGAAGTCTTCACTGTATCTATTTTCTGCCAGTTACTGAAAAGATAGCCTAGAGGAACCTAACTCTGAGATATTCACCTTGTCAGGCAAATCCAAGAGGAATTATTCCTTTCCTTTCTTACATCATCTGGAATCCACATGTAAGTGCTAAACAGAAATGTTGCCACTATTATTTTCTCAAGTGGAAACTGCAAATTTTTTATTGAAGACACCTTTTCCTCCTCTTTCTTATACCTGTGCTAGTACTGTGTGCTGCTTCTCTTTAGAAAAACTGTTGCAGTAGAAGAGCAGTACTGCCTTCCCTAGAGGTGTTTCAAACTTTCTTTCACATCTCAAATAATTCCCCTGAATATTATTGATCAAAATCTTAAGGAAATTGTGTGAAGTATTCCTGAGTGAAGTTGTTTCCTTCCTGTACTGTAGTTTATAAAGTTTATGTGAAAATTGACTACTGTGCTACAGACACTGTGCTACAGCACAAGGCACTCTCAGTTACTCCTCAGAGAAGTCTAAATCCTGACACATGTCCCCAGGAGTTAGTCGTGTTAGGAATTCAGTGGTGTTAGGGATTCACAAATCCTACTGCATTGGGTATTCTTATCCAGGTGGATTAGAACTGATTAAATGAAAGTAAAACTGTCCAATAACCTGCTGATTATGAGTAACATATAACCATATATTTTATCACTTCTTCATACTGTTACAATTTTTATAACTGGTGAAAAGGAAGATTTGTAACTGAAAAAAAACCCAAAACTTTACACTTTGTTTTTATATGACTACTTTTTGTTAAGGAAAAATCTGTGCTGGGAATAATACTTAAGATTAGACCTCTGAAATTTATTTCCCAGCTTTGCCTCTGAAAGACTTTGGAAGTTATTTTTGCCAGTAGGAATATATGACATGGAATTACTGTTTAAATACTGGATGTGCTATGAATGCAAAATTATGCCTATGTTCCTGCAGCATTTTTAGAGAGCTGAGTATATGTGAAAAATCTTCTACTTTAGTATTAATATTATAAAAGAGAAAAGACACTGACATACTTCCATTCTATTGGTGCATAAATGCAGTACTCCTGAAAGGGATTCACTCTGTATAGTGATTTTACTTGATGGATGTAAAGACCTAAAAAAAAAAGACCTAAAATCAAGAGAAAGTGACACTCTTCAATGCTGTAATGCAGGTTTTAACTTAACAAGGAAAATACTGCTATGTGGCTGAGGGCAGTAATGCTGCAAACTCTGGTTATTTTAAAATATATTTATACAATTCTTTTCAGACTGTAGAAAAAAATACACCATCATAATCTTGGCTAAGACATTCATCAGACCAAATCATGCATTTACAGGTAGTGTCTATCCAGCCCTCACCCTTTATTTTGACATTAAAACTAACACAAGTAACAAAATTCATTATTTGTTTGCCTATCTTCTTTGGAGTAAAACAAAAGCAAAACAGAAATAAAATATAAAAGAAAAATGAGAGACAAAATTACACCTACCTCCTCCTTGAAAACCTGTTTCCTTGTGACAGTTACAGTAACAGAGCACAAAAAGGACAGAAAATAGGAATTTGCCTTGGTAGTATATTTTTGCTTGCTTTGACAGTGTGAGTTCATTATTGAGCTGTTCTGAAGTGCTCATGAAACAGGGTGTAAAAATAAATCCCTCCTACGTCTTACTCACTTCCTTTATCTTGTACTTGCGTAATGCAATGGGGAGAAGCAAGGTTACAGCTGTTCATTTCCTACAGGGAGGCAAATAGGTCAGAATAGAAGGAAAACTTCCTCACGACCTCATTCACGTAATTTTCACTCGGTTTTCTCACACTCTTCTCATATAGATGTTTCTACGTGGCACCACCTCAAAGGCAGATGAATATATGAATCTTCCTGCTGGCTCAGGTGTAGGTGAGGTACCACTGCTTTAAGCCACACCACTGTGTTTTGCTTATTGCTTAGGGTCACTACCCTGAGCAGGAGTATAAGTCCACTACTCTGCCCCTCAAAACAGCTGTTCTCAGCTTTGCACTCCCCAGCCTCACTTCCTGTAGACGAGTAACAAACCAGTGTCAGCAGCCTCGAGAACTTTTCCACTTGATGTGTGCACAAATTTTTCTGGGCTGGGTGATTTCAATGGACAGATCAGGAAAAGTTTCTTCACACGTGCAAATGTCATGTGAAGTGTACCAAATCAACAGTACATCACTTGTCTGTGCTAGTGTCTTGGAACTGAGAAACCACACCTGCCTTTTCATGCACCCTGTAGTACAGTCTGAGTATGGAGCCCTCTGCCTTCCTCACCTTTAAACATTTTGAACAGGAAAATGAAGTCATTAGATTACAGCATTTAAATCTGATCATTTATAATATTCACTCAGTGTACTAGTCTTAACATACCTGTTATACCTCACTGGAGGAGTGGTAAATCAGATCAAATCTGCCCTTCTGTCTGTATCTTGTACAGCTTCATTCTCATCAGCTTTTGCTCTTATTGCTCTTCTGGGCAGAGGAGGAATAGGTGGGGGTTGGTTCTTGAGAAGTTTCCTCTTCTTCAGATCTCAATTCCTCAATTTTACTCAAACAGCAGGACACTACAACTCAATTTCTGGACCTGCAGAAGTAAGGCCCTTTGTTCTCTTTCTCACTTTCTGTTGCAGACACTTCTGTCAGATTGGAGTGATTTGTGGGTTTGGGATATATTTGTATCAGTGAACATGAAATCTCATTTTCTATATAGTATGCACAGCCTGCCCAGAGAGTTGACAATAATGCTGTGTAGGTTTGAAGCTAAACAACTGGTTCCCATATGCATCCATAAATTGCTCAGAACGAAGCTGGT